AATAAAACTCCATTTGACTGTTAGAAAGTTTAGTGTGATGCTCAGTATCTCCTGCCTTTTGAACTTCACCAACAGCCAAGTAAGAGTTTTGTCTTCCTTCAACTGGTCATGAGAAGTAATGATTATTTTCCTTTTTTCCCTGAGCTTAGCTCCCAAACTAATCCTAATCATCCTGCTTTGTGTCTTCCTCAGACAATTTTTCTTCTTCTGCAGTCAGTTCATTTCTTTCCCTCCTGCTTTCCTTTGGCCTGCCTTCGTGTACTCCCCTTACCTTGCCAAGAGTTGCTGAAGTGAAAACTTATGCCTGGAAATTAATGCATCTGCCAGTATCTCATACACTGAGCTTCTTCCCGCCCTTCTAATATGCATCTTCCAGTTTAGTGTTCCCTGATGAACTGTCTGACTCCACTGTTTCCAAATGTTGGCAGTTTGTCTATGATTGGCCTTTAAAGGTTTGAAGTCCTAATAGCTCAAGAATGTAAACTGCAGTCAGGTGTCTCTAAATCATACTTGCTGGTTGTTGGTGTAGATCCAGCTCATAAAGACTTTTTAGTGCTGTCAACTACATTTCTAAGGAAAATAGTTTATGCCCAAAGCATAAAAAAGGCATTTTGAATTGAATCTCTGGAATGCTTATTACAGTGCACATATGGACACTTAACCATTTTCTTCTTACCTTTTTTTTAAAAAAATATTACTTCAGTCTTACAGGAAAATACCTAACTTACAGGAGTTTGGTTTTCGTGCACTTAAGGGCTGTTAGAACATTTTCTCAACTGTTTTAGGTTTTTCACTCTTTTCTGTAAATCCTGTTTTGCAGATACTTTTAATTTTCTGTGATTGCTCCAAAGTATCCTTTAGAACTGGGGGGTCTCAAGCAACCTTTCTGAATTCCTGTGAAGAAAACGTAGTGCATACGTCCATATATACAGACACATATTTTACAGGAAAATGGTTGTTTAATTAGAGTGAATGAAGTTGTAGTTTTGAGATGCAGAAGCTCCATTTTTCCAGGCTCTTCAGGCTTCTGCATTTGAGTGTCTTCATCTCTTGCATTATCTTCCTGCTGTGGCACTTTTTTTAATTTATTTACTTGGAAATTCCAAGCATCACAAGCATGTGGGTTGTAAAAGTAAATTAATGAGCATCTATTCTTTTGCTCCTTTGTTGGAGTTGTAACTGTGAAATTCAGGTTTCTTCTACTCCAGTTTCTATTCACAAAGTTGGAAGACAAAACATGCTGCTGTGAGTTAGCCAAACTGTACTACTTTTGTACTTTTTTTTCTTACTTTTGTAACCAGAAATCCTCTTTGGACAATGAGAATCTGTGCAACTGTTTTTTCATAAAGCAGTTACATAGGTGACTCTTGTTTCATTGTAAAAGATGTCATAACAGTTAGAATGTAAGTCTGTTGTCTATTTAGGTTTTCCAACGTTGATTATACATCCTGCAGTGACAAGGAATTCTCCAAACTGACAGAGTTGGTTAGGGTCATCTGACTTCTTGGAAATAGCACATTAAATTCACAGCACACAGCTGCTTGCTCGGTATGTCTCTTAGCTGACTCGTTACCAAGAGTCAAGCTAATTGATTCTCCCAGCTTGTGTGCTTATAAGTCTTGTTCAAAGCCAACAATGCTATGAGTTGCTGAAATACAGTATAAAGTTACATATGTATGCATGCATGTACAGTCTCCATAAATGCCCTAGAAGAATAGTTCAGATGGGTCAGGTTATATAGATTTGACAGACAGTCATCTCCAACCACCTCCCAGTGTGGGTGGAGCACAGAGAGGCTCAGATGAAGACTTCTGGGAGGCAGTCTGAAACATGAGAACTTTTTGTCTCTGCAAAGCTCAGAGAACAGAACTGCTGGCTTTTTTTCAGTCTTCTGTTCTCTCCTATCTCTCTGATAGGCTGCCTAAGAAAAAAAACTCCTAAATACTGGGTATGTGGAATTATCCAGAATGGTTGCAAGATTCCTGCTCTTTCTTTGATGAGGAATCGAGGGAGGTTTGGAGATCCCAGAAATACCAGAATTTTAGTGGCACAACTTTTCTTCCTCTTTCTTCCCACACCTTTCTGTGTTATGTCTTACCTGTCTTTCAATTTTTGTTCCCTGTAGTTGGTGGAAACGTGGATTGGAAGCAGATAGCAAGCATTCAGGAATCCATTGGTGAAACTAGCTCCCAGAGTGTTGTCGTTGCTGTGGACAGGTATTGTATTAAATTTGCTGTCGCCACCTCAGGCTTTTTAAACAATGTTTAAATGCTCTGTGCTGAGCATAGGACATTATTAATTTGCCACTATTTGGAAAAACTATATAAATACTACCATATTCACACGCTTTTTGGGTTTGTGGGGTTTTTTCCTTTTTTTTTTTATGGACCAGAAGTATTTTTTTAAGTAGGAGCAGAACAAAGATGAGGCAAGAAGCCTTTTTACTGATAGAAAATTCCTAGAGGAGAGTTGCAGAATGAAGACTGCTGTAATGTCCAGTGAATCTTGATTTACTATATATAGTAATAGATAACAAATTTCATTTTTCTTTGGTACAGAGGGAATTATTGGCAGACCCTTTTTCGCCTAAATGTGATTACTGACTCCGTGCTTTCCTCTAGGTTATGTAGATGTTGTCTGAAATGACCAAAATTATTATGCCAGTCTTCCTTTCTATGAATCATATCTATTTCAACTGGATTTGGCCAGGCATGACACATATCACGAACACTTCCTGTTTGTATTGTAAAGTACTCATCAGACTGGAGTGTCATTGCTTGCTCAGCATATAAGAAATCAAAACCCATCATTTTCTTAATGGTTGTCAAAACTGAAGAAGAGATATCATTTTGAAGGCTTACAAACATTTCTGTGGTTGAGTATAGGCAGCAGGATCGATGTCAGTTCAATGACAGTTGCCTTGCAGTAAAATCATGTCAAGTGAACTGGAAGCTTAATGTCAAACACATAATAGCTCTTTAGGTTTGCAGTGTCTCTCCCTGCTTCATAGTGGGAAGTGTTTCAAATATCTACTTGTCATGGCATATGGGAATTGTGCACTCTGGAGAAGTTAACCTGCTGTATTTGGATCAGGGATCGTTGAAGCTACTTACAGTGTTCATCAGTACATGTTCACAGTTTCTAACTGTTTTTTAATAAACAAAACTAATCAGAGGGTGTCTGTCATTTAAAAAGACAAACTTGAATACATATTTAATAGATGCTTTTTAAAAGAAATTGTAACAATATCTTTAACTGCACTTCACAGGATATTTACGGGATCTACAAGGTTGGATGGAAATGCTATTGGTAGGTTTTATCTCTTCCCCACCCCTGTAAACTAAACCTTGAAAAAACATGGCATTAAAACCTGTGGTTATTTAACAGTGGATTTTGTTCGCTGGCTTTGTGCTGTGTCTATGGATGAGCTGCTGTCTGCTACCCACCCTCGAATGTTTAGTCTGCAGAAGATAGTGGAGATTTCTTACTACAACATGGGCCGGATAAGGTTACAGTGGTCTAGAATCTGGGAAGTTATCGGTGATCATTTTAATAAGGTATTCCTGTTAATGATTATACTGCACACTCCTTCAGTTATCAGTACTAATTCATTTTATTTAGAGATTAGTTGGAAAAGCAGATGCTCATCTGAAATATACTTTTTTCTGTCCTCCTGTGTAATAACTTAAACCAGCAAAAACTATAAAGCTGGAAAGGCCTGCAAGAAGGCAGAGGTACACAACATAATACATGTATAAACAGTAGTACACAGTAAGTTATTTGTCATGACCTAGGTCTAAAACTGGCTGCTGTTAGTTTTGTGTTATCATTTTTGGGGGTGTTTTATGAAGCTTGGGATAAGAGGTTGTTTTCTATTCAAGTCTAGATTGCCTGTTTATCTGGTGAATGTTGGACATGAATTTTTCATACACCTGTTGGAGGCTTTTTTAGACAGCTTGCTTATTTTTAGAAAGTTGTAAATGCTAGGTTATTGTGGAAAATAGCTGGGATTGGTTAGGGATTATTGAATTGCATTAACAATGTGGTTTCTGGAATTCGCTGCTGTTTGATTTTGTTAATTTTCCAGTACTGCTTAGTTCTCCATTATCAACTGCAAAGGCAGCTTGTGGAGAATCCATAAGGATTCTGATGCAGGCTTACCATGCATTTCTGCTTTACATTCTCAGGTTGGCTGCAATCCCAATGAAGATGTAGCTATTTTTGCAGTAGACTCATTAAGGCAGTTGTCAATGAAGTTCTTGGAAAAAGGAGAACTTGCTAATTTCCGATTCCAGAAGGACTTCCTAAGACCATTTGAACATATCATGAAAAGAAACAGGTAATAACATAAAATTAACTGAACTGCCTGGGATTGCAGGCATCGGCTTTTGCAATTAATGTTGCAAATCTGTTGTTAGAGAATTATACTGTTCTAATTGATTATGTAATTTAGTTTGAAAAAAATGATTGTTTATTATCCTAATTTAGGTCTCCTACTATCCGAGACATGGTTGTACGGTGTATTGCACAGATGGTAAATTCCCAGGCTGCTAACATTCGTTCTGGCTGGAAAAACATTTTCTCAGTATTTCATCTGGCAGCCTCAGATCAGGATGAAAGCATAGTGGAACTGGCATTCCAGACTACAGGACACATTGTCAGTGAGTATGAATGATATTCAGACATCTTGAAAAGTGTATGTTGCTCCTGAGACCAAGAAGCTTTGTTTATCTGGTGACTCCACAGCCTGCATAGTAAAGCCCACTTTGTCTTTTAGAACCAGTGTTTTGCACTTTTTGGCCAATCCTCTGGAAAAGTACTTAGCAAAGTAATTTAATAAGATATCTGTCTGTCTTTATGGTTTTTTTAGAAAAATTACCTGTTTGTAGCATTCTGTAATAAAACAAGTCAAGCCTTAGATGATTTTGCTTCACGTGTACATTTTCATGTAAATGAAGAATTTTGGGTTTTCTCACAGAAAAAAAACGAAAGTGCAGTCATTTCACTATTAGATTGTTTTATTATCTTTTTCCTTGTTTCTGAATGGTGCTTGTATATGGCCCTGCTTAGGAGAAAGTGCTGAGCTACATGGCACAATGATGAAATTTTTTTTCTTGCCATTCTAATCTAGATCCCAAGGCTTTAAGGGCCGTAAGGAATCTCTTTATTCTGTCTCAACCTCTGCAAGTTCCTAAAACTTTTTCAGCACTGATGAAGCACTATTTTTTCCCTCAAAAGTAGCTGTCTATAAACAAGGCAACAGGAGCATGTTGCCGAGGGGGAAGTCCGTTCGTAGATGTAACACCATGCTTCATGTGGCCCTCTGAAGCTCGGGTCACACAGACCAGGTTAAACAGTAAGCCTATTGCTCTGGTCTTGCTTGACTGTTACATTTCCCTTCTTTAGACTAGATGCTGCCATGATTTATTTTAGATACTTATTTACTGTCAAAGTAGAATGCCCTCAAGGTGATTTTTTTTCATTTTTTCTTACAACTCAAGCATTTGACAGCACCAGTCAATGAACATGTCTCTCATGACTTCTGTTACAAGTCAGTTCATATTAGAATTAATAGATTTGAAAGCATGACACTTTTTTTTCTTCTGTTCACACTTTCCCCCCAGCAATCGTGTTTGAAAAACACTTCCCAGCAACCATAGATTCTTTCCAGGATGCAGTAAAATGCTTGTCTGAATTTGCCTGCAATGCAGCATTTCCAGATACCAGTATGGAAGCGATCCGCCTCATTCGCCACTGTGCAAAATACGTATCTGACAGACCTCAGGTATAGTCTGTATTAACTAATTGTAATTGTAAGTGCTTTAATCAATTGTGCTTTCATAAAGGAAAAAAATACTTGCACTGAACTTATTGGCTTCACTTCAAGTTTCATGGATTAATGAGAAATGTACTTTGTTCAGAAACAATAGGAGTATAAAATCTCACGGGCTTTGAAAGTATCAGCAATTTCTTGTCCTTCTTTTATTCCCCTTCATCCATCCCTATCTGCCCAGTCCAGCTGGTGACTAGCATTCCTGAGAGCTGCTGGAAATCAGCTTATCTCGGGATCTGCTCTCTACTGAGAAATGTTGTGAAGAACAGATAATGGCAAGAATGCTTGATATCCTCAAAATGTTGTGGTAGACCCTCACTCTCAGAGCTGTCTCTATAAAAGTGAGAGCGCAAGAGACTCACACTGAACTGCAAGCAAAAACTGGTGCTTGAATTTATAACCTTGTTTATTTTTTTAAAGTTTATTCTTCATAATTGAAAAACACTTCATCTTCACAGTGTTAGTGTTTTGATTGCCAGCTTACCTTGAGCTATCAGGGTGTAATAGTAGTACAGCAGAGATTGTTATTTACAGTCCAAATCATATTTTGTTTTGAAGACTCTAACTCTTAGGACTCTGTGTAACCCTGTGTTTCCTTCTGAAGGCATTCAAGGAATACACGAGTGATGATATGAATGTAGCTCCTGAAGACAGAGTGTGGGTGCGAGGATGGTTCCCAATTCTCTTTGAGTTGTCCTGTATCATCAATAGATGCAAATTAGATGTAAGAACCAGGTAACAATCAGTATTTGTAATTCAAATTTTAAAAGGCTTATTTTACACTTTTAAAATAGCTCTTTCAGTGAATGTAACCACTGTAAAATGGCGTACGTATTTAGTTTGGGTGATATCATTGTGGAAAAACCAAACACATTTTAAATAGATGCAGGAATGTAGAAATTAAGTCTCTGTTTTTTACGTATGAAATTCCTGTTTAGCGTTGCGATAAAGAACAAAGTTACATAGTTGTGATTGTGTTCTGTGTCTTGCCCATCATACTTACTTTGGGTATTTTAAAACTGGTTTTATACTGTATTTCGTTAACTGGTTGAGGATTGCAGAAACTGTTAAAAAAGCAAAGCTTTACTCTGATGTCATATAGAACCTGTTCATTTTCCTTGAGGATGGCATTTCCCTTATAAAATGCAGTTCTGATGTGAAATATGAGAGGTTGTATACAAATAAATTGAAATTTACACATCTACATGGGAGCTGTGCATCTGGACTCCCCTTATAGCTGGTCAGGGTTAATACTTGTTTCTAGAACTCTGTATTTCTTACCTAGAAATATTTTTTATATCAAACATATGTTCCACATACTTATGTGGCACAGATGTGTGCCACATCAGATCCATGTATAATGTTCTCAAGAGCATTTGAGTTTGCTGTTGCTGCTGCAGTTGGACATATTTAGTCTCATGCATGTCTTTCAGTAACTCTTATTATAAATTCTTCTTCATTTCAGGGGCTTAACAGTAATGTTTGAAATAATGAAGACATACGGCCATACTTACGAAAAACACTGGTGGCAAGACCTGTTTCGGATTGTCTTCAGGATATTTGACAACATGAAACTGCCAGAACAGCAGACTGAGGTGAAAAAAAGGGGGGCAAGATAATTTACATAAGAACTGTATTTCCAGTGGACAAGCTGTAATATAACTTTATCAAGTAATGTAAAGCAAACCTCAAAACTTGCAGGGTTGACCAGTGGTTCTAGTAGCTTTATTTTGTTTTAATGGCATTCTGTTGGCAAGACTGGGGAAAAACAGAAAACTAAACAAACACCCCCCCCCCCCCCAAAAAAAAAACAAGGCTATAACCAACCCACAGAAAACCCCCAAGGCAGCACTGTGCTTTCACTGCACCCTTTTGACCAGCCAGAAGAAGAAACACAGCTTCAGCTTGGTGTTAAACCATTGAGCTAGGGTTAGACACTAAGACAGTTGTTTTTCTGTTTCTGTAGTTTTTTTAAACCTTCTAGTTAGCAAAGCAAAAGTTGGGTCTCCATGTTTTGTGAGATTTAAGATACAGAAACAAATTGCATGTCACTATAAAGCAGTTCCCGCTGAGCAAATAGATGTATCTGTCTGTATGTGTTTCCTTAAAGTTATAATTCTTTTTTTCGCTCCTAGAAAGCCGAATGGATGACAACTACTTGCAACCATGCACTTTATGCAATATGTGATGTATTCACACAGTATTTAGAAGTACTTAGTGATGTTCTTTTGGATGATATATTTGCACAGCTGTACTGGTGTGTGCAGCAAGGTAGGACTGTACCAAGTTACGTTAAACAGTGTCAGCGTTTTACTGTGTTGAATGTGAATAAACAAATACACTGTTTGTTTTTTACAGACAATGAACAACTGGCACGATCTGGTACAAACTGTTTGGAGAATGTTGTCATCCTCAATGGTGAAAAGTTTACCCTAGAGATCTGGGATAAAACTTGTACTTGCATGCTGGATATTTTCAAAACTACAATCCCTCATGCGTAAGACAACTGTTGATATTTATACTTGTACAGTAGTTTAACTAGGTGACTTACTGATTTCAAACTCTTAGATATCTCATGGGTGAGGTGAACAAAAAGACTGAAGAGAAACAGACTTTCTTGGAACACACTGATAAATCAGGTGCTAGGTATACTTCTGTATTGTAAATTATGATAAACTGTTAAATAACTAAAATACCTTATAGGAGATAAACAAAGAAAAACTAACAAACTTCAAAATATAATTTGATTCAAATTTAAAAGTTTGTGTTTTTGGAGAAGTGCTGTCTGATTTTTCTTTTTTTTACAGTTAGTTTCTGAATGCTATTGATGGGCAGACTTTGCTATTTCTAATTACATATGAAGTTTTTCCACAGAATACTAAAGTTCTGCAACTGTCTTACAGGTTTGAGCCTCTGTGGTTGATGGTTTACTTCCATCACGTGTTTCTATGAGTCTTAATCTTTCTATGAAAATGATCTTGCAGACAG